GTTAATCAAAAAGAGATCAAACATTTACATTCGGACTATTCAGTTGTTGTAGCCTTCTTCAGGTACTTACTAATACAGAGTAACTTTCAGGTAATTTCAAACTGAACCTTCTATTTAATCTATTTAATCTACAGAAAAAGATTGTCCAATTCTATAGATATCTGTCTTGTTCTTATTTAGTACTGCTCAGTTATTGCTCAACCTGTTTCCAATAAGTCTGCCTTATCTAACCTAGAGATTGAACTCACAATTACTATGACACTAAATTCATGAATCAATGCTTTAATCCACTAGGAAACTGCAATAAGAAAAGAAGCTATCTCTTTGAATGCAGTCAAGCATGACATCAGCAGGAAGACTAGGTTTAAGGTTCCAGGTTCTAGACTGAATAGTTTAGTGCATGAAAGCACTGGTTGATGAATTTATAACATAGTAATTGTGAGTGCAAATTTTTTGAACTGGGTAATGCAGACTTAGACTTAGTGGAAAATAAGAACAAGATGATTAATGCATAGACAGTGGAATGAAAACAATCTACAATATCCTTGTAGAATAAATAAAAGGCTCAGTTCAAAATTCTGAACATACCCCAAAAAAGGCTATTTGGCACAACAGCAGAAACATTGTAATAAAGATGAGGACAAGAGTTCAAATGTAAGCAATGATAACTACTCACCCCACCCCCATCCCAAATTCAGTCAGAAAATATTGGTTTAAATTTGTTCTTTAACAGAGAAGGGATATTGATGTGAGAATTTTCTTTTATTTCACACATACACACAAAGTATAATGAAAATATATTGAAAAGTCCTTGGCATGATATATAAAAAAAAAAAAAAAAATCCTGATATTTGATTAGATTTTGGGTTAACCTAATAAACTTTCAGCATCCACTCATTGATTTTTTTTTTTTTTTACAAAAGAATTTAAATACTTAACAGTTTATTGATCTTGTTTAAAAATTGTCAAATTGACACTAAAGTGATGAGTGATTGAGATATTTATATTTCAGCACATTAATAGAAATTAGATTATGCTATTCAAATATTTTAATAATCAGAGCTCAGCCTTATGTTCCCATCATCTAAAAACTGTCCTGAAAATATTTTGCACTGTCCTAAAATCAAAATTTTTAAGTTTTGTATCATTACATTTAATTTTTTTTTTTTATGGAAGTCAAGTTAGAAATTAGAAAGAATAGTTGCTAAGAGAGTGTATGCAAAAAATATGTTGCACAGCCCCTCTCACACTTGTAATACTCACACATCTTTTGTTGAAACTGAGGAGGATAGCTTTCTTCTCCATCCTGATCTTAACCTTTAGTGACCAGACATTGGGAGAGAAAAAAACCTCACTCTTAGAGAATTTCTTTTGCCAAATAATCTAAATCACAATTCATATAATGCTAAGTAGACACAAAAACCCAATGGTTCTTACCAAACTATAAACTAACTTCCTGAGCAAAGAACTATCCCTAAAGCATGTGAACCATTTAGCCTATAAGCTCACATAACTGGTGTACAACTAAGCATTGAAAAAAGGCGTTCAATAAACTCCTTTATATCACTTGAATGGACACATTCTGATGAATCAGTCTCACTTTTTGCTTATCCCAATCATATTTAACATTGCTAGCCAATGGATGTCTCATTATTGAGGTATTTTACACTGGCCACTAAAAGGAATAAGTAGTAATATGTTCTCCTTATGTCAAGACCCTTGATCAAATAGTCTTTTTAATGTTTGATAGCATGCCTATCTTGATAATAGCCCAGTTCTAAAGGGGGCTAGCTTTGCCAAGAAGAGATTATCAAGGGCATACTGATATTTACAAAAATAGTACTCAATTTGGAGCATCCAAGGGCACACTTCTCAAAACCAAAAAGGCTTTCTTGGCATCTTTCCAGAACCTGTCACTTCTTTTATAACACACATACACCAGAACCTGAAAGTATACTCCCATGATGTGTTCAATTCCAATTTTCATCAATGTGAACAAAAGCTGTAAAATCCAGTTTAAGTTAAAAGGAAATGGTGAAATGACATGGCAATAAAAGAAAAACCTTGTTTTCAATATTGAGAGATGACTTGTCTCTTCACAGTACCAGCATGCTCGCTTTCTTAAGTAAGTAGCTTCTAGCCATCCACATTCAAATAATAATGAAATTCAACACTTTCTTGTCCAGCACAATGGCAAGCTACCATTCCTCTCTGTAAACAGTCAAAAACAACTGTCACTATTTCCCCAGACTGTCAGGAAATAAGCAGCTAAGTGGTCACTAAACATGTAACCAGACACCCCATCTGTTGCTCTAGTATTCTTTTCTTTGGTTGTGGGTAACAAACCCCACCCTCTCCATGAGGAAATTCATGCTTGTTGAACTTTTACCTCTAGATTACACAATGATTTATCAATCATTTTTCTGTCAACTGTGAATGTCCTATAATTCAGGTAGATGGACCCGTAACCCAGCCTCTTTTATAAAAGTGGTTGCATTCTTAGCCTTTAGAAGAAACTACATTATATTGATTATATATGAAGGTGAGGTAATCCAAATATCAGGAGAACTCCCTCTTGTATAAGTTTTAATCTTTTCCTGGGTCTGGAAACTCTTCTTTTTGTTTGTTTTTTTTTTTCCAACCTTTTCTCATCTCTTTATTATTGTTCTCATGTTCAAAAATTTCATGAAGTATTTTATAAGGTATTGTCTAATGTGTACATAAACAGAGTTTGAGTTATCTCATTGAAAGTATTTAGTAATCAAATTTACAATGACAAACTAGAAATAAAAATGTGGTCAATATTTAAATGTCATTACAAGTGATAATGTTTGCCTTTCCAAGAAATAATGACAGTGATCATAAGCAACAATAAACATCTGGGATCAAAATGTAAAAATTGTCTTAAACCTTCAATCTTAACTTCATTGTTAACTCACAAGATGAAACCCAAACTCTTTTCTGCTGTACTAAATGCAAGTTTGGTTTTACAATTGATATTCTACTCAAGAGAAAGAAACTGTCTACCAAAACCTTTCATGCTGTTACTTTAACAGATTTTTAAGACCAAAAGATTGATTTATAGCAAAACTTGGTATTTAAAGCATTTGTTCTTGCAAATACTCCATTTCAAAACTTAAGGATCAATATCCTTTTTTTTTGAAAAGGAAAAAGAATTAAAATAGTGATCAAAATATTTAAAATTTGTTTTCAATAACATCATGTATTACATCTAAATAATTTTTAATATCATGGCTTAGATTTACAATGAAAATTATTAACCTCTAAATATTTAAATATGAATTTTCATAGAAATTTCAATAAAAAAGGGTTTGTTTTTTTATTACTTTTCTTGATTTTAGAAAATTGCAAACCTTGTCCAAGTCTCCAAAAGACTTATGAATTCATCCATATTAGCTGATTGCGAAAAGATTTGGTCCAAACATCAAAGTGAAGCAAAATTTAAATCAACAAGTCCCCTATTTAGCATTAACCGAGTTCTGATTTCTGTGGGCGGGGAATATATGTGTGTGTATATATATATATATATATATATATATATATATATATATATATATATATAGAGAGAGAGAGATATTGGTGTTCTGACAAACATCCTTCTATTTTAGATGGACAGATCAGTCATCCTTAACAGTTTTGTAGTTCTTTTAAACAATGACTTTTTGAGTTCAATGAAAATAATTCTACCCTGTTTTCAGCTAAGATGGTCTTTTGAATTTCAGGTGCAGTTTGGTAAATTGGTTTTATTTCAACCCTACCAATATGCAACCCTAAAAGGTTTTGATAAAATACTTGCAGCACTAAGATTTAAACAAAAAAAAAAAAAAAAAGCAATTCCAAGAGAAATCACTCCTTCCAAAACAGTTTGAAACCTTTGTCTGTTGAAAATGGAGTCTCCTATGCCAGAATACAGAAGTTTAATTCCTACAGAGCAGATAAAAGTTGAAGAGAAAGCTGATATAAATTCAAATGCCATGTTTTTGGTTCAGTTTCAAACAAGCAAAATAACTATAAAAAACAAATGCCAAGTTTTCATAGAGGATACGACATAGTAAAATTAACAATACCAAGTTAAAAACCCTACAATAACATTCAGCCATATCTAGAGAACTTTATGGTTTAGATGTGTAAAAAAAAAAAAAAAAAAAAATTTGACTCATCAAAAAATAAGCTTACTCCAGGAACTGAGTTCCTGGGAATCCTTAGCATATGATCATTGAAAGATAAAGACAAGGGGGAAAAATTCAAAGTTGACTCTGCATTGCCAAAGAAAATGAAGAGAGAGAAAAATTGTTCTGTAGATATAATATAGCACATTATTCAATTGTGGTTTTACATAAATTAAGTATCACTAATTAGCTATTTTCATCAATTATATTTTACTAGAAGATAAATATGGTAATATGATATTTTAGATGATTTGTACAATTTCTATTACAATTTAAATAGAAATTGTCATTTTTATTTTAATTTTCTGAGTAGTAAGTTAAACCTGCAGAAAAAAAAAAAAAATCTTTATATTCAATGTCAAATGGATTGAATTACTTCAAATCATTTTCTTTTATAAATACACACACATGCACTTAAAGAGGGGGGAAAAAAAAAAAAAAAGAGTAGCAAGCTGTTTTTTTTTCTAAATTTCTAATTTTTGCTAATACTGTAGAAAATGCTATTTTTTGTTCGAAATTATATTTCAAAGCTATGAAAATAACTAGCAAAAGCATGTCAAGCTTTTCATAGAAAGCATGCCATTAAACATAACTGGTTCTTTTTATGCTTATTGCTTTCAGCGAAAAATAGTCAAACAAAAATTTGCTAAAGGCATCTCTTATAAACACCACACATAGGGCTAAATTTTTTTTTTTTTTTTTAAAGATGTACATTAAGTTTCTTGAATAAAACTGAAATTTCTGAAAATTCTTTAACTCAATACAATCATTGTTATTAAATATTCTTATACATAATAAAAATTACCAATACTACCAGATGCTTACTATTGAGAGAAGAGAGAGAAAAGAGAAGAGAGAGAAAAGAGAAGAGAGAGAAAAGAGAAGAGAGAGAAAAGAGAAGAGAGAGAAAAGAGAAGAGAGAGAAAAGAGAAGAGAGAGAAAAGAGAAGAGAGAGAAAAGAGAAGAGAGAGAAAAGAGAAGAGAGAGAAAAGAGAAGAGAGAGAAAAGAGAAGAGAGAAAAGAGAAGAGAGAGAAAAGAGAAGAGAGAGAGAAGAGAGAAAAGAGAAGAGAGAAAAGAGAAGAGAGAGAGAAAGAGAGAAAAGAGAAGAGAGAGAAAAGAGAAGAGAGAGAAAAGAGAAGAGAGAGAAAAGAGAAGAAAGAAGAGAGAGAAAGAGAAAGAGAGAAAAAGAGAAGAGAGAGAGAGAGAGAAAGAGAAGAGAGAGAAAAGAGAAGAGAAAAAAGAGAAGAGAGAAAAGAGAAGAGAGAGAAAAGAGAAAAAAAAAGAGAAGAGAAGAGAAAAGAGAAAAAAAAAGAGAAGAGAGAGAAAAGAGAAAAAAAAAGAGAAGAGAGAGAAAAGAGAAAAAAAAAGAGAAGAGAGAGAAAAGAGAAGAGAGAGAGAGAGAGAAGAAGAGAAGAAAGAGAGAGAGAGAAAAGAAGAGAAAAAGAGGAGAGAGAGAAAAGAGAAGAGAGAAAAAAGAGAAGAGAGAAAAAAGAGAAGAGAGAAAAAGAGAAAAAGAGAGAAAAAAGAGAAGAGAGAAAAAAAAAAAGAGAAGAGAGAAAAAGAGAAGAGAGAAAAAGAGAGAGAAAGAGAAGAGAGAAAAGAAGAGAAAGAGAAAAAGAAGAGAGAAGAGAGAAAAGAAGAGAGAAGAGAGAAAAGAAGAGAGAAGAAAGAAAAGAAGAGAGAAAAAAGAGAAGAGAGAAAAGAAAAGAGAAAAGAAGAGAGAAGAGAGAAAAAAAGAGAGAAGAGAAAGAAAAATTTTTTATTTCGAGTAGAGCTTGGTATCTACACCCATTTATGATATTATGATTGCTGTTTAATTATATTCAGTGCATCAAAGTAACCAACTCTCATAGGAAAATGAAATGAAGGTGTATTTTATTTTTTTAATTGAACTTTTATTGAAAAAGAAAATGAAATGTTTTTAGCGGCGCAAGTTCAAAATAATTATACTTAGAAGATTCCATCAGAAAACTGCATGCAACAAAATTAGGTACCTCCACTTGGTCAGGTAAAAAACAGCATAGCATGAAAGAAAAGAGAGAGGTAGGGAAAAAAAAAAAGGCCCCGAACTCAATAAAAACAAAGTTTTGTCATCAAAATGTTTGGTTTTAAGAGGAAAGACCAAAGTATTTTTATTATTTTTATTTTTTTTTTTTGCTCTTTTGTAGCACATTCAATTTAGTTTAGTTTAAAAATACTTTTTTGTTTTTTACTTCAGCAGTGGACCAAAGTTAAAGGGTCAGGTTTTTTTGGGGGTGGTTTTTTTTTTTTTTTGCGTTTTTTCTGGTGAAAAATCACATTGATTTGGAAATTATTGCAAAATTCAAATAATTGTCAGATTTTAATGAAACTTTCAGAACCTATTCAGAAATGAATGAAATTATTATTGTGCAGGACTGAGAGGATGGTATTAAGCCATGGACTTTATCATCCATCAAAATGTGAAGCACTGTGAATAGAAGTAATAGGTGCCAAATGTGTTCTCCTTTGTCTTTACACATCTTACCACAGTCCTTAAGTATACAAGATACAATGTCTGATTTATGCTTTTCCAAGCTGAAAAGAATATTTTATATTTAAGCATTATTTAAAATTCTTTAGAGAAAACATTGTTTTTGTTGTTATTAAGCAATGAAGAGTACAGATTATTTTTTGCTAAGGTTGTCTATAAATCATATCAGTTTTGTTTGAATGATGTAGACATTTTGGTGGCTGGTTCAGAAGTAAATGCATCAAGTGTTAATGCAAATAAAAGCTTAATCACTATCTTATCAATACTCATCATAGTTGGAAGAGAATAGCAATTTATCTATCCTAGGAAAATCATTTGGTACAATAAAATCTTTTTTTATTTAATATGCTACTGAAAAAATAAAATATGTAACTTTGAATTATTCATTTCATAAAAATTTTTATGATGGAAAAATTGTGATCTTTTTCGATTGATAAACTTCAAACTTGCAACTATTCAATTATCTGAATAAAGCATAAAAAGGAGTCAATTTGCCAGAAAGATAACTGAAATAGTTTACAACAAATTGAGAAAACAAAGCCATTTTTAAAACCCCACGAAATCCTTGCAATATGCTGTCTTAATATGGCACAGTTTCGAGATGAATTAACTTGTTATTGTAACTAGGAGAACGAATTCCAGATGAAAGCAACAATCTCTTACATAAGGTCAGTTATATAAGGTACATAAGGTTAGAGACTTGTCTCTTACATAAAGTAAGTTATTTGATTCAATGTTTAGTCTTTTTATCCAATACAACTTAAGACAAGAAATGCTTGTGGCTATTGGTATGACAAAAACAGACAACTCACCTGTTCCAGTTTCATTCTTGCTAATAAGGTAAGCATTTAGTTCCTTCAGCTCTTCATGTAAATCTATCAATTTAGTGTTTGATTTCTTGACAATACTATTAATGTTAGACAAGCTCTTTTTGTCTGTGGTGACCTCACGAAGACGTTCAGCACCTTCTTTTATTTTCATTTCTTTCCGAATCTCCTTCTTCAAGTTTTCCCGCATTTCATCCAACTTTTGCTGTATACCAGCATCAGAGAGGTTAGATGACAAGCCATGACGAGAGTTAAATTCATCATGAGAAGATTTGGGGTAGCCTCCCTGTAAAACAAAAAAATAGAAAGTGATGTTCATCAATAAAGATTGAACAGATAGTAATAGTATTGAGCGAACAAGGCATATCAAATAGTGGGTTTTATCATACGAGTTATGAATAGTTCTACCTCTGCCTGGTGATGCTGTAAAAAAACAACTTTTTTTTTTTTTTTTTATTTAAAACTCCTTAATTTTTTTATTTTTTATTTTTTTTATTTAAAACTACTTAAATTTTTTTTTTTTATATAAAAATAGTTTAGAGTAATATATTTTAGCACATGAATATAAATTTATCAAACAACAATGAATGGTATTCAACAATGTTTGTTTTTTGTTTGTTTTTTTTTTAAAGAAATTTAAAATTTGTGTTCTTGCTTAAACTCCTGAGGAAGTTTTAAATTCAAAACAGAACAATAAAGTAGTTGCTAAGTAAATTTCTCACATGCACACACACACAAAATGAAGTAAATAATATGGAACATTTAGTAAACTTCACTGCTGAATTTAATTCTATTTTATGGTTTCTAGTAATTTTGAGAATTATTCACTTTGTTATTATAAAATATTTTGTATTATTAATTTTATAGGCTAACATAAAACTAATGAATCATAAGCAGAAACATTAGAATCAACAGATTACAAGTAACCAATAATAATGGCAGAGCACACTGAAAAGACACAAATTGATTTGACACAAAAAAAAAAAAAAAAATAAATAAATAAAAAAAAACATTTGTGATAGTTAAGAAAATCCAACAGTTAGAATGGTTAACACCTTGTAATTTTTTCATTACAAGTTTGTTCTTTATTGATAACCCAAACAAGATTAAAATTTGATAGCTAAATGTCCTGGTCTTCAGTAATAAATAAGGACTAATCATCATGACTGTAAACTATTATGCAAGAATGTTATTTCAGATTAAGAATAATTAAAATGACTTGACAGCAATTTTTCTTTGGCACAAGATAAAGCATGAGAATTAACTTCCGTTTAACCCTGCACCATGAAAAATCCTGTCTAATCCATACATTGACAAATGTATTATAAAGTGAACTATAGAATTGAAGTCACTCAAAAAAAAAACAAAAAAAAAAATTTTCCTTTCCTTTGAAAACTAATTAAAAAATAAGTTGAGAGAGGCCATTAATTAACCATCAATTTTCTAATTTCAAATAAAAGGATTTAATCAGTTTGTTTAAAAAGCAAGAAATTGCATCACATGAAAAAAAAAAAGCATTTAATTTCATTTGTACCTCTCCTGTCAATCTATAATATTTTTCTGGCAGGAATTTCAAACTAAAAAAAAAAAAAAAAAAAAAAAAAGAAAGAGAGGTACATCGAGATATTTGTTGAGGAAGGGTCAGAAAAATAGCAATACTAAAAAGAGAACAAGACATGAACAGCAGCAGAAGAACAAAGATTAAAGGGTTTAGATCAAAATTCCTTGAAGGTTACCTGGATCAACAGACACCCAGAGCAGACCAGAATAGACAAAAAGTTGTGATAAAGATGGGGACATTGGTCTGAATATAAATAATAACTCATCATCCCGAAAATTACAACAGTAATTTTGAATATTTTCATAGCATGCACACAAAGATTTTTAAGACTTCTTCAAAAAAACTGGAAAATTCAACAGCGGCACAAATCTGAACAAGTAATCAATATTCATCAATAAACATTAAAAACTAATAAAACTAATAAAATCCAAGATAAATAGGTATAATATAACCAAATATTTTTTTTTTAAAACTGAATTTATCTTAAAACTTTAAATGTTTTCATGATGTATAGACAAGATACTCTGCAGTTGGCCTTGAATCTACAAGTGTTTAGTTGATTCTAAAAAATAGATAAGTTTGTTTTATTCACACCAATTTCATGTAATCTCAACAATCACACACAAACTGTCAGTCAAGAGCAATTGGTTCTTATGTGACAAGGATACCAAAAGGTTTCATAAATCTGCATATACAGAAATTAAGATGCTAACACAGTAACAAACTCACTCAAGTTTTGCTACCAGATAGACAAGTGATACTCATGAAGTTTTGTTAATACACTTGTAGATGTAAAACCCAAAAAGTGTCCCAATATATTTTACAAAAAAAGAAGAAAAAAAATTGATTAGGCATTGGCTCAGATGTTCTTTGCACATGACATAATTTTGCAAGTTTCATACACATGCTCTGCTGCTCAATTGTGTAAGCATTTTTTAATTTAAAATATGGCACACCTGCAGAGAAAAACAAAACAAAATGTTCTTTTCTGAACAGCAAAGAGAAAAAAAAAATCAGATGAATACATGATACTAGATATGGTATAAATATATTAAAAACATGCATAGTCTAAAAGAGTTAATGAGATTTTAAATATGTGCAACAACCACTTTATGACAGCATGGCGCTGAAAGCAAAAAAAAGATAAAAGAAAAAAAAAAAAAAAAAAAAGAGAGACGAAGAATTTGTGTTCTGTGCTGTTTGTTAAAATTGGGATCTAATTTACTAAGCTTTGAAATATGGTAACTTTTTTGCACTTCCATACAAGTCTTGACCCTTCACAGCATTCCTTACACCAATAAAAGAATGCTACTTAAAAAGAACAGGATTCTCTGTTCTTTCTCCTTTTTTATTTGCATCCACAAAACTGAAATTATAACCCCGGATGTTTTTTACTTTAAATTATGACCCTGGATTTATTTTTTTTTTTTATATTTGTGATTTCCTAACTCCCCTCCCCCGGACATTATGACCCCCAATGTAAATTCTTCTTTTCCCAATAGCAATGAATTTCTGGCTATGATTTCAGTGATAAACTGAAATTTTCAAAATTGATAATAAAAAATCTGAGTTCAATTAATAAAGTTATTCTTTTAATTTAGCATAGCAGGAAATTAGATAAATGCATTAAGCATTTTTTTTTTAATGAAATTGATTAATCTTATGCTAGTTATTAGAATGCAGTTAGATTCTTTATGAAATCAGGGTCCAAATTTAGACAATGCATCTAATTTTCTTTGCCATGTTATAATTTAAATACTGATAATACAATCATTTTACAATGATTTTCTTTTTTTTTCCAGTAATAATCATTCCCACTTAAAACTCATTATTTGCAACAGCTGAGAAAAAAAAAAAAAATTATTTTCCACAAATTCCTCAGAAGATAGATTTGCTATGTTAAAATAGCCTCCATTAATCTTTGTTGCTTGTTCCCATTTCACTTCATACGTGATATGAAATAGAAAACGATGCACAAATATAAAGAATAACCTGTTTAGGGTATTTTAACCATGCAAAAAAAAAAAGAAATACCAGTAAAATTTACGTCACCTAAAGTATACATTTTTTACTCAAAGAGATTTATATTTGAATCTTGCTATTTAGTTATAGAGAATGGCTAAGTTTTAAAATGTTTAAATAAGTCTACATGCAAAATGATCAAATAAGTTTCCATTTCATTAGTCATGTACAGACAAAAAAAAAATATATCAAAACATTTTTAGCAAGTATTTAAATTATTCCTGAAAAATAAAAGCTATTTGATCAATATTTAAATGTATGCACAATTCTGAAATTTAATGGTGACTATTTTATAGAATTTTGAAGGACTACAATCATAAAACATCAATTTTATTCTGATTAGTCATCAATATGCACACAAAAAAAACGTTCTTATGGGAGAATGATTTTCATCCAAGTTAATAATTCATTTCTCTTAATAAAGAAATATTTTCTTGACACATGATCCAAAGTCAACAAAAAAAATTATATGTGAATAGATGCTAAAAATATATTGACCATGGTTTCAACACTGATGCCAAGAAAAGGATATTTCTTAATAATAATTTAAGTTATAATTCTTTAACAAAGAAAATAAATATGAAAAGAAAACCTTTTTATGCTCTAATGACTAAAAAATGAAGCATTTGCTAATAATTCCTAAAATGCCCAAAATTAATCTTCAGAGAAGAATTATATTTTTTATGGCCATAGGACAATTGAATATGAGGTCAGGTCAATAGGATAAAACATGCATTCCAAAAAGATATTGAAAATTTTATTCACATCAACAGGAAAACTATACAAAATAAGTGACATTATTAAAGACATCACAGCATCCAGTTGATTGATATACTCATTTTTTACAGACCATTACTTCAGGCATTTTTATTCAAGAGTTTCATTAAAATCCAGCAATTATCTGATTTTTGCAAGAATTGCCAAATCAATGTTTCTTTTATTACATTCAAATTTCCCATACAAATTTATTTTTATTAGGCTTTGTGTATTTTTTTTTTTCCATCATGTATCCTCTTTAGCAAATTTTTGGGTAAAAAGCTTAACATCAAACCCTGATGCAATAATACAAATTCCTTTGGAATTTGGATTGTAGCTAAAATAAAATACTCGGTACCTCTCCATACACACAAAAAAAAAAAATAAATAAATAAAAAAAAATAAAAAAAAATAAAAAAAATTAGCATACTGTGATGGAAAAAAAATGCTCCAAACTTAATAAAAACAAACTTTTATCATCAAAATCTTTATTAAGAGGAAAGATCAAAGTATGTTTTGTATATTTAATTAAATTTTTTAAATTTTGATTAAAAATCTTTTTGTGTCAGCAATGTACCATAAATTAGTATAGCAAATTTTAGTGTCTTTTCTGCTATGAAAGACATTAATTAATTCAGAAAGTATTAAAAAAAAAAAAAAAAAAAAAAAAAAAAAAAAGAAATTGTTGAATTTTAATGAAACTAACAACTTATTCACAAATGAATTAAATTATTTTAGAAATGTTTCTTTTTAAAAAAAAAAAAAATTTTAAATAAATTTATTCAGACTATTGTACATAATCTCATCTCAGAAATATAAAGATATATATATATATATATATATATACACACACACACACATACACACACGTGTGTGGGTTTCACCCTACTTAATTTTTAGTGACTATATTAGTTAAAAGCAGAACTCTTTGGAGAATTTAAATCAAT